TCATTACGCAAATCAGGTTAGCCTTGAACTCAGAGACCAGTCTGCCTCTGCCTCCCAAAAAGGCACCTAACTTTTGCTTTAAGCAGTGCCAGGCTAAGAACATTACAAATATTGAATAGTTAGTATGTCCTTGATTTGCTATGGGAAAGATCAATGATTTATGTATGCACAATTCTTTGTAGATGTACCTTATCAGTATAGTGCTATCTAAAATAGCTTAAGCCACTAGTTGAGTATAAAGAAAAAAACCCCACAAGCTTAAAGGTTTATTCCAATACATGAGTTTTGCTGCATAATAACCCCCAAAAGTACTAACAATTAAGATTTATTTTTTAAAAAAAACCCTGGTCTTTTTTTCCATAAGCATCTAGTAAGGGGGAGGGTCAACATTTTGACTACATTTAATTAGATAGGCTGGCTTTTATAAAGCCCCTTCTCTTTATATTTACTAAAGAATAATAGAATTAGTAGACAATATCGCTTCAGAAAAAATAAATACAAAATAGTCTGAAACAATTACCCAAAAGTAAAAAGCTACAAAAATCAGACTAGTCTTCATTATTGACAAATTCATTTCTTCTAAGACCAAATATATTATTCTACTGTATTTTCTTTCATTTTTGTTATCTGCCATCACTCAAAACAATACTTCCCTACCCCTCAATTGGGGCCCTCATAGAAAACGAAAAATCAGAATCTCTTTTCTACTCTCCTAACATCCATCCCTCTATTAAGAAGATAGGGAGGTAGGAGCATTTGCTTAGTGGATTGCTACTTGTCACTGAAGGACACTGCATTTAATCTGTCTCCCAGTGCAAACAAGATTAACTCCACTACAAAGTCTCAGGTATCAAACGCATAACCCTAGTGTCACACCCATTTCAAATGAATGTTGTCAGAGCTTTACAGAAAAAAAATATTAATACTGCATTTATTCTTAGGGGTACATATTAACCCTATTTCTAATACTTGTAAAATGACTTCTTACAAAGATGATTTCATAGATTTATGATCCCATAGGCTTCTTTTACTTACATGAAGAAAAAACTACTAAAAATAGTTACTTGTTATATGTTCCATCCCTATACACATAAGTGCTTATTTTCTTTAAAATAATAAACATTTGGCCCAAATTAATTAGTTATCAATTAAAAAATATGTAACAGTAAATATAAAAGGCTAAACGCCTATTGATATAGCTGAAGGATTTTCAGCTTCTTTGGAAAAATCATCGGTCTTTCTTTTATTTAGATCTATGTTTTTGACTAATGTATATTTTAGTAGTTAGATATTTCTAATGAATGAATGAATATACCATCAACAGTTTTTATATTAAATGTCATGAATACATTGATTTTATACTTTTTTTTTTTTTGGTCTTTTGAGACAAGGTTTGTTTGTGTACTCCTAGCAGTCCTGGAACTCAGAGATCCGTGCATCCACGTGCCTCTGCCTCCCAAGTGTTGGGATTAAAGGCGTGGCTTGACTTTAAACTCTGACTATCTACACCTTGGTAGGAATGCTTTCTTTTTTCCAAGGTTTTAGGAACAAGACAGTGTCTTGCTTGTGATTTACTCATTACTGGTAAAACTGAAAGATCAAAATCACCTCCATGATGTAATAGACTGAACAAACAGATTCAAGTAAGGAGCTTTCAGATTTTTAAACGTATGTGCTGGGAAACCTAGGAGATTTTTCTGTAACATAACTCTTAAAAGGGGTCTGTAGGTTTTACAGCACAACAAGAGGACAGTGTTGTTCCTGGTATGTATTTAAATAAATCTTTTTACTTAAACTTCAAGTTTAAAAAGACAGAACATTGGGGCTGGAGAGATGGCTCAGTGGTTAAGAGCATTGCCTGCTCTTCCAAAGGTCCTGAGTTCAATTCCCGGCAACCACATGGTGGCTCACAACCATCTGTAATGAGGTCGGGTGCCCTCTTCTGGCCTGCAGACATACACGCAGACAGAATATTGTACACATTATAAATAAATATTAAAAAAAAAAGACAGAACATTAAGTATATGTGAAATCCATTAAATATATGAACACATTTGTGTTTATAGCACATACCAAATCACACCAGTTAGCGATACTAGTCATTAGCAAACTATTCAAATTAAACAAGTCACTAAAGAATCCTTACAATAACCAGGGTTTCAACTGTCAGTTAGACAGTTGACAGTTCACAATTATAGCCATTCATGAGTTCTTGGAATGCCACCTTCAAAGTTCACACTGGTCAGCTATTTACGGAAAACAATCTGTACTGTGCTCCATTTAGGGCCCAGTAATAGTTACATTCTCCTTTCATTTACAGTAAAGGAGTCTGTTAAATGTATAGATAGTTTAAACAAATTTTGTAATGTTCACTGTAAAAGTGGCTACACAATTTTTTATCAACCATCATTACAACCACCAGTTTATACAAATTTAACCTGAGAAGTCTTAATGTGTAATAATAATTTTCTAATCAAAATGGCTGGAAAAAAGCCGGGCGGTGGTGGCGCACACCTTTAATCCCAGCACTTGGGAGGCAGAGGCAGGCGGATCTCTGTGAGTTCGAGACCAGCCTGATCTACAAGAGCTAGTTCCAGGACAGGCTCCAAAACCAGAGAAACCCTGTCTCAAAAAACCAAAAAAAAAAAAAAAAAAATGGCTGGAAAAAAAAAATCTCACAATTTGATACTTAATAATGTAGGGTCAGCAGGCAAGATAACTGGGAAACCTTTGCATCAGCCCTTTTAAAGGTGTCGTAGTAGTTGTTTAATATAAATGATCTCAAAATTGATTCAATATAGGCCCTTATATGGAACCAAAACCACGGAAGAACTTCAAATATATGAACCTAAATTAACCTCGTTAACCTCCCATTTCCCTTCTTTTGTTTAAAAAGAGAACAAATTTGGAATTTAAACAAAAAAATGAATATTTACAATTATTTCTTTAGGATCTAAATGTATTAACCTACTCTAGAAGTTTAAGACAGCCTCGTGATCTCACCAATTTATATGATATTTGAAGGATTATAAATAATACTGCAAGATTTTGAGAAAGTAACCTCAAATTATACTAAAAGTAGTATTTCTAATTAGGACTGTTCTTTAAAAGGTATTCATCTGGTTAATTTAAACGTGTGCCTTGAAACCCGCTATTTTCAAGTGCAAAACTTCTGAATGCTCTCTTTTACAAAGACTTTCTTTAGAAACAAAACAAAACAATACAAAAACCCAAAACCCCTATTTCTAATTAATGGATTCATGCCTTCACCAGGTGTGTCGGTTCATGACAAAACATCAAATGTGTAAGATTACATCTTGGAAAGAAGAATATTAAAAATCAATGTAAAACTGATAATATGCAATGCAGAATTTAAGGTTGGGGTAAAGGAGAAAGCAGCACATTCAGAATGGGACCACACACAATCAAACCCTTGAAAAGGATCAAGTAATGCAGTAGCTGAGAACAATGATGTAGCACCATCTGCAGCTAAAACACTCGTTATATTTGGAATTATGATTTCTGAGATTACTTTAACTACAGTAAGGTAAAATATATGCACCTGTAGCACGTATTCAAAAGGAATGTTTCAGAGTTTCCATCTGTCAACAGATTTCTACTTGAGTACATTATTTATCATCCTCTTAATTTCTGAGGAATATGTTGTGAACTGCAAAGTGTGTGAAGAGGAAAGATGCATTCTTCATGCAATAGGTTTTATGTGTGAAAAGGAAGGCTGGGGAAAGTCACTTATTGAAGAGGTACAGATCAGAAAGGGAAAGTTAAAGGTAACTTATCAACTTTGAAAATATAGGTTCCTGATAGTCATAAAAGACAAGGTACCATCAAACTTGAAAGGGAGACTCCACCTGCCCTCCCAGTGAAAACAGGAGCAACTAGAAAATTGAAGAATTTTTTTTCAGTTGCTTCGAAAATCAGTTTTTGTTTCCTTTTTTTTTAAACTTGGTAATCCCACCTCTATTAAAATTTTCAATGACTAGCTAGCTGACTAGCTAGCTCACTTATGAACAGTGAGTTCTCAAGTGCAAAGACTTCCTACAACTTGGCCACAAAATTCATTAACTCTGAATTACAAAAACAGAGATGAATGAATTCCAGTAATCATTTTTAAACCAGCAGAAGAATATATAGAGTAAAACAGGGATAAGGAGAAGAAAAACGCTAAGAATGTGAGGGATTCAAGTATACTATTTCATGGTAGTCTTCTACATACCAATGATTCTACAAACTCATACTATGTTTTGATTCTTTTAGAAATTGAATTAACCTCTCTCAAAAACCTTCAAGTGTAAGAAGATGCCCCACTCTTTCTCTGTAATTTTTAATGTAGTGCTAAAATGTTGCAATTAAGGTTTTAACAAGGTTGGAATTATATAATGTCAAAGGTCTACATGACAGCTCCTAAAGAAGACTAAAATCCCTCACTAGGCCATAACCAAACATGCACTGCTATAGAACAGTGTAGCGATACACTGGCTTTCATCTAAAATATTAAAAAGGCACTCCTTACACTCTAGGTAGAGGGAGTTGGTTAAGGGCATACCTTTCAAAAACTGTAGTTTCTACTACAGTTTAAGCACTTTGCACCTCCCTTCAACTAGAAGGCCTTCTGGTTTTCTGTCTCAATTTCCAAAATAACTTTGGCCAAACTCTGCCATAAGCACTCAAAAGTACTTAACACCTTAGGAAGGGACACCATTACTGATGGGAGGGGCACCCCAGCTCTCATTTTTAAACTGTTAAGCTGAAATACACCAAAGACATTGAATTACTATCTAAGTTTTAAAAACAATAAATAAAACAAAAACCTTGACCATGTCTCCTTACATCTCTATTTCAAAACTTTGCATTGATTTTACTAAATTAAATTTTGAAAAGGAAAATAAAGGCCTCAAGTGAAAAAAAATCTCCCCAAGCTGTATCCTAAGCTATTTGGATCAAGCAATCTTAGCAGATATTTAACATAAAAATTCCCATACCTGTCTTCATCACCATCAACAGGAATAGCTATGTTGAACACAGAGCTGGCCAGACTGTTCATAGGTGTTAACTGAAGGGGGTTTGTCAGGGCATCTGCAACTGGAGGCTTCACAACAGGCTTATTTTCAGCAATGAGAGAAAGTGGTGGTTGAGGTAGGGGTTCTGATTTTCTTCTAGTATCGTCAACTTGCCCGACTAAAGGCTGGGTCTGAGTCTGAAACTGGCTTAGGTCAGACTGTGGTAGGCTCGTTGGTGCACTGTGGGTGCCTTGCGCTAAGGGCGGCCCAACTTGTTGGATGACGCTGCTGCTCCGGCTGACTGGCGCGTGGCTGCTCAGCGGCTGAGACTGGCCCAGAGGCGCGGATACATTTGGCATAGTAACAGAAGTGGTGGGCACACTAGGCACGCTTGGAGCGGGTACCGCGGCAGGCACGTTTGGAACTCCGGGCACCACGGTGTGAGGACCACCAGGCACGGCTGACAGCTGACCACTGCCCCCCATCTGCGGGGGAGGCTGCACGGACTGGGGCTGTCCAGCCCCGGGAAGCCCCGAGCCTGGCTGCACCACGCCTCCCATAGCAGCTGGGGCCACTCCCGCCGGCTGACAAGGAGCGGCCTGGACGCCAGGAACCGGACCTGGAGCTTCACTGGGCTGGGAAGGGGCGCCCATCATCTGCACACCCAAGGAGGAGACGCTCTGGCCAGAGCCCAAAGGAAAGCTGGCCGCAGAAGCCGAGGTCGCGCTAGCGCTTGAGGACAAGGGCTGCGCAGGGCTGGGTGGCTGCAGGGCCACGTGCGGCTGCAGGTACTCGCTCTGGCCCGGGGGCTGCACGGGCACCAAATGCCCGGGTGCTAGCTGAGGCTGGGGATACCCGAACTGCTGGGGATGGTGCGGCAGCGAGGAGCCCACCGCCGGGCCCGGCTGGGCGGCCAGGCCCACTGGCGGCGCCAGGTTTACATTCGTCGGTGGCAGAGCCTGGCCAACAGGCCCCGGGAGGGCGCCGCCGGCCACGGCTCCCTGGAGCTGGGTTGGCAGAGCTCCTGCCGGCATGGGCTGCGGCCCGGTCGCCGCTCCCGGGAACGGCGGCAGCGGTGCCGAACTTGGAGCCACAGCCCCACCTACGGGCGGCGGAGGCTGCGGCTGCCCAGCGCTGAAACTCTGCGGCTGGGCGAGAGTGGGCTGGCTCATTTTCTCCGACGGGGGTAGCTGTGACACAGCAGTCAAGGAGCTGTCAGTTCCCGAGTCCAGCCCGTGCGCCCCCTGCATGGAGGCCACCACCACCACCACCGACCCTCCGGTGGCGCCCAGCCCGCTGTCCCGCTCGGCAGTCTGCTCCAAAGTATTGCTGTGGCGGATGCAATCCCCGGAGCGGGTACTATCCGAATCCCTCTCGTAGTATTCCATACACGTCCATCGGCCGCGCCGGTACGGCTCTCCGCTCCCGTGGTCCAGCTTGATCACGCGGAAACGGGAACTACAAGTGGCGGGGGGCTGAGAATGAGTTGCACTACCCGGGCCCGGGGCGGACACCGGAGTGGTGGCCGTCGCCAGGGTCTGGGCGAGCGCCCCCGCCACGCTCCGGGCCGACACGCCGCCGCCTCCGCCTCCGTTGGCGGGCGCAGCTGAGGCGGCGGCCAGCTGCCCATCCAGGATGAGGTTCGGGGACACGGTCCCGGGAGTTTCCGTATCCCCGACATTGTTGAGCGTCTCTTCGGAGGAGCTGCGCTCGCACACCTCCTCGGGGCCGTAATCGGTGGCCCGAGAGACGTCGAAGATCTCCGAGGACACGTCCTCGGTGCGCGACTCGTCCGGGTCGTCCAGGCTCTCGGTGTCCTCGGTGATGCTGGTGGCCACCTGCGCCGTGGTGACACTGGTGATCTGGAAGCAGCTCTTCTTCTTGGCCGGCATCTTGGACATGGTGGAGAAGGCTGGGAGGACAGAAGCTCCTCTGGGATCCCACCGGAAACCGAGAAGGGCCGAGCACGGAGGCCCCCAAAGACAAAGTCCGAGTTCGCGCCTGGGTCTACGGCCCGCGCCGCAAGTCACGGGCTGCTCTGGGCGACGGCCTCTCAGCGCCACATCCTCCTCCTTCCGTCTCACCTCCCCGCGGCCGCGGCGCCTCGCTTCAAGCCGGCAGGGGACCGCTCGAGCGTGCTTCAGGGGCGGGCCGGCTGCTCGCCAGGCTCAGCCGCCGCGGTCAGTCCAGCCCGGTGCTCGGCGCGGTCAGCAGGCCCGGCTGGGGGTGGAGCGCAGGGCGCAGGAGGCGGCGGCGGCGGCGGTGGCGGCGGCGGCGTGAGGGGCGGTTCTGCCCCGCTCGGGCTCCCTCCGGCCGGGGCCCGCGGCTGCTCCCGCGAGGAGACGCGGACGAAGAAGGCGGAGCGGCGAGGCCGGGAGCGGCGCTTCCCGACGGGGGCTGGAGGTCCCGCGGTGGGAGGGAGGGCAGCCCTCCGTCCCCAGCTCTAGCCAGAGCGCAGCCCGGGGGCCATGCCGGCGGTGGCGGCGGAAGCCCGCTCGGGGGCGGGGAGGACCGGCAGTCTGGTCTCCCTCAGGGAGCCACCCGCGGCGGCGGGGCCCGGCCTCCTCGCGGCTCAGGCGTGTGAGGGGCGGCGGCGGTGGCTGAGGGAACGGCAGGCGGGCAGGCGGGCGGGCGGAGGCGCTCGGCGGCGCTCGGCGGCGTGAGGAGGAGGAGGAGACCGGTGGCGGCGTCTTCCGCTTCGCCTCGGCGCGGCCGGCTTCGTCAAGCCCGGAGAAAAAACTGAAATTCAAACTGCTGAAGCAGCGGCTGCAGCTCCCTCCCCTCAGTCAAGATGGGGCTGAAATGGCCGCGCCAGGGATGCTGGGAGGAGCAGCAGCAGCCCCGCAGCCGCCGCCGCCGCAGACTAAAATGCCGCCGCTGCCGCAGCCACCGCCAGCGCCGCAGCCGCCGCCGTTCCGTGACGCGCCGGCGTCGTGACGTCACCGCCCCGCCCCGCCCCCTCCGGTTTCCTGCAGTTTCGCGTGGAGGCTGGAAGGGGGTTCGTGGGCGGGGCTACGGGCTAGAGAGAAAAGGGGGAGCGGGTTCTTTATTTAAAATTTTTCAAATTTAAATTTCACGCCGCAGGTTCAGGAGGAGTTGAGAGGCCGAAGGACGGTTTCAGATTGCGAGCCTGGAGAATCGCACGGTTCAGTGCCGGTGCGCGGAGATCCTGGATGACTGCAGGTCATGTGCCGCGTCTAACGTTTAGCATAGTCTAAATGGAACCAGGGCGCTAGGGGAGAAAACTAGGGCGATCCAGCAGCAGAAGAGGTGTATGACTGGAGAAAACGCGTCACGTTAAAAAGCTTTGAAAATATATGCTGGCCACCGTAGTCAGAAAAGTGAAATTTGAGCGAAGCCAGGGTGACTAACGCAGGACCGCACGCCAGATTGAGTTAGAAAGGCGATCTTTCAGACGGAAATTCTGTCTTCAGCAACGGGAGCGGGCATGATTACTTGCTCAGAGTAAAGTCGGTGTTAGAAGAGGTTAGGAATTAATAACGTATTCCAAATTTTCCTGAATTTGCTGTGGTTCAAGACTGGAAGAGTTTCTTTGAACTTTTGAGACGTTGAACATAAAGTCAACTTATGGGTTTCAAAGATGCACTGGACTCTTATTGGAGCCGTAATGATTGATTGTTTTTAGAGCCACGCTGTTACTTGGTTTGCTTTGGACCAGGCACAATGAATGGCACAAGCAGTGGCTCTGAAAGGGGAGTGGAATCTTGTAGATCTGCTTTACAACCAAAAATCATGAGGCCATTCCTTTTTTAATTTGTATTTATTTACTTATTTTTTGAGACCCGTGTAGTCTTCCAGCTCCCTACTTAAACCAAAGTGGCCTTGAACTTGTTCTCTTGAACCAAAGAGGCCTTGAAACAGAGCTTCCTGCCTCTGCCTCCCAAGTGCAGAACATGCGCCACCTCTTTGGGAGGGCAAGGATTTATTTTTAAACACTGGGCACTCTCTGAAAGACGAAAGACAAGGCTCGTTTAGCGAAAGTCTGAGGAGTTTTGCTGGAAACCAAGATGCCGGATTTATCGCAGCTTTTAGAGATCAGATCAGCTGACATCTAAGTTCGTTTACCCAGTTATCTCATCCTGAAAGGACAGATAGTACTCTCTTGTCCAAAAATGGGTCAAGAATTAACATTTGCACAGAATGTTTTAGGTACTTAGCTGTAGTTTATGGAGGTAGAACTTTTCAACTCAGTAGAAACCCAAGTGACAGAAGTCAGTATATGAGCCTGGTAAATACATCCCTGTTTCTTGAGGGGGCAGGAGAGTAAAGAAACAGTGTTATATTATGCTGGTGTTGTGGCAAAGATAGCTGATGGTATGCTTCCTTTATAAATCTATCATTTCAGTTATTTAAAATTATTGGCTTGTTAAATCCAATGCGAATTTAAAATAGCTTATTTTAATTTTGATGTTAAATTTGGTTATCATTTGGGTATTATTGACCATGCTTTTTGGAAAAACAAAAATCCTATGCCTAATCATGGCATTACTTTATTTTATTATATAAACCTTGTCATTATTAGTTATTATATCTTCAGCCACACATTTAAAGAGGAAAAGTAATTAGTAAGTATTCCTTCCTAAAGAGCATTTTACTATAAAATGAAAGTAAAGATAAAACTAATATGAAGAAATGAGCGCATTTATAATACAGACGGTAGATGTTCTTAAAAATTTAGAATTCTTTCATTTATTTATTTATTTTTATTTATTTATTTTCGAGACAGGGTTTCTCTGTAGTTTTGGGGCCTGTCCTGGAACTACCGTAGACCAAGCTGGCCTTGAACTCTTTTTTTTTTTTTTTTTGGATTTTCAAGACAGGGTTTCTCTGTAGTTTTTGGTGCCTATCCTGGAACTAGCTCTTGTAGACCAGGCTGGCCCTCGAACTCACAGAGATCCGCCTGCCTCTGCCTCCCGAGTGCTGGGATTAAAGGCGTGCGCCACCACCGCCCGGCTGAACTCTGTCTTTTAATAAACAAAGCAGTCCCTAGGAAGAGACACAGACAGAGAGATACACAGAGAGAATTTATTACTTCAAACTGTTAGGAAGAAATGAAAAAAATTATAGTTGTTGTAAGGAATTTTGAAATCACTGAACATATCCCCAAACTATAAAAAAAATATGTAATTCGTAGTTGCTCCACAAAGAATTAAAAGTCTACAAGTAACCAAAACAAACAAACAAACAAACAAACCAACCACAGCACGCAGTGTATGTAGCGCGTGCAGGCCACTGCTTTTGCTAGGGTGTAGAAAGTTGTTAATAAATTACATGGCAGCCCTAGCTCATTGGAATTGGAGAGGTCCCTGGAGAGCCAGACTTAAAGGCTTTAATGCAACTATCCTGGCGCCGTGCCCGTACCCACAAACTATGCAGTGGAGGTTGTGGGAGTCCTTGATTACTGCTGTCTTAGCCCCCAGCTTGACCATTTACCCTACCTCTTCCTTCCCCCAAAGATTTCAACTTCCAGCTGTGTATTGGAAGTACATTTAGAAAGAATACCATAAGAAAACAGCAGTAAACACAGATGCCCCCTTTCTCTGATGAAAATACAGTTTCAACGAGCCTTCCCTTATTTGCAAACAGCTTTCTTCTGCCAGGCCATTGCCTTACAGATTGGTGTGATGGCAAATCATTTCATAATTGTCAGATTGGTAGAGTGTGAGCAGCAGGCTCTCGTTCTCAAGAAAACCTGACATCTTCATCCCCCAGTGGATAAATGACACAAAAAATATAATAATACTGTCAGGAGACATTAAGCAACTGTCTAGGAAGGGAAAACAACTGTTCAGTAGTTATCCCTAAACCAGGGACATCTGTTGTGCACCGGATAGCCTATACTCCAGCCATCAAGTTATTCTTGGATAAAGAAAAAGCTAACGTTTGTTTTCTATGTTTTTAATCACAAAATTATTAGAGAAATACAAAATGAAGGAATGTTTTTCAGCTTTTTTCAGAGGAACCCATCACAAAATAAAGAGGTGTCTCAGCAAGCGTCATTGTTTTATTGCTTGGGTTTCTGGTGGTGCGTTTCTGAATGAAGCAGTATCACATTAATAAGTGTGATAAAAGTGAGGCCGTTGTGGGATATTATCCAAAATGGAGGGAAAAGTAGTGAGGAAGAGCTAAGGTGAATGGAAATCCTTGGCTCGTTTTGTAAAGGAAAACTCATTCGTACTGAGGTATACAAATTCTTACTTAAAGTAGCTCTTAGACATGCCTAGGCTTTGATACACTGCGAAATAATAATGATCTCTATTCATTTCGTCATGGTGAAAAGCTCCTTGAAAAACTCCACATGCCTTTGAAGCTAAGGTAATCTGATGAATGTAATGGTCAGATATGAGCAAATATTTATTTTGAATCTCTGATGTACGATGTCCCCTGTATGCTGTGAATATGTTTTATTACCATTGGTTAATAAAGTAGCTGATTTGGCCAATAGCCAGGCAGAATAGAGCCAGGTGCAAAATCCAAACAGAGATACAGGGAGGAAGAGGACAGAACCAGGGAGACACCAGTAGCCTCTGGAGAAGCAAGATGTGAGGTAATGCCGTGGACATGTGGCAATACATAGATTATTAGAAATGGGTTAATTTAAGATATTAAATCTAGTTAGTAATAAGCCTGAGCTATCCACCAAACAGTTTGTTTTTTGTTTTTTGGGTTTTTTTTTTTTTTTTTTTTTTTTTGGTTTTTTGTTTTTTCGAGACAGGGTTTCTCTGTGGTTTTGGAGCCTGTCCTGGAACTAGCTCTTGTAGACCAGGCTGGTCTTGAACTCACAGAGATCCGCCTGCCTCTGCCTCCCAAGTGCTGGGATTAAAGGCATGCGCCACCACCGTCCGACTCCACCAAACAGTTTGTAATTAATATTAAGCCTCAGAGTGTATATTTGGGAACTGGCAGGTGGGAGAGAAACCTCCAGTTACAAATGGCGCCAACCATCTGGCATGATCAACATAAGACCTAAAAAAGTTTTTAAAAGGTTCTAATCACAAAGAAACAGTCACACTGGGCTTCCTAGTCTCTCATGCTAGCCATGGCACCAAATCACATCTCTGGACAACTGCCAACCACCATGGACCAAGCTACTTGGTGGATTCTCAAAGTCTCTTATAGGGGCCATGATAAAGAGGCTTCCAGATGCTGCCTGCAGGCTTGAAAGCACAGTTGTAGGCTGAAATACACAGCACAGCTGCAGGTTACTTAGTACTGCTTCCCAGAGTTGGGAAGGTAAGCGTGACTCTCCTGGGTACCTCCACCATGTTGAAAAGCTGAACAGGGTGAAGCCAGCAGCCAAAGCCTTGGCTTTGGTCCTAGCCATGCCCACTTAGCATCTTAAAAACTCTTCTGGTCAAAAAATGATTATAGATACACAATAAAGACAGATTCAGACAGAAAAGGCCTCTAAATGGGTCACAATGTGTTTGATAAACATGCATAGGCTTGGAATAGAGAGGATAAAGAAGAGACAGAGTCATAGATCAAAAGAATAATTTAAAGATAATAAGCTGAGGTTCTCAAAAAGGAAATAGAGTACTAAAAATTAATATAAGCCACATAAAGATGATAAATGCACAGAGAATCTGGATTATGTATATTATTGTGTTTTCTTTGAATTTTTGACTATTAATGAGTTAACAGCAGAGAGAGATTTGATTGTGGGGCCTGCTAAGCTAAACCAACATAAAGCTATCATGTCTTCAAAACATGGGTCTAAGGATATGTTGCTTTGGAAAAGAGCATATGTGCTTTTGTTTCCACAGAAGATGAGAAGCTATGGATTCCTTCCAGGCTAATGTGTTTTGATGGAACAAGACACTTGAGAGGTCTCTGATAGGAGTGATGATCCAGTTGATCCAACTCCCAGAACATCTTCAACACAACTGACTG